AAAAAAAAGCAAAACCCTAATGAAAAAAAGTAAAAAAAAAGTTGGAGCTACAACCTTATTCTAAACCGTTACCTTTTCCATCAACATCATTCCTAACACTTCCTAGTTCTGAAACAATACATAAGTTATAGTTTTCCACTCAGTTTTAAATACCTTTATTGAATTTATCTATAAATTCTTAATTTTTGCATGCCAGTATAATAAAGCATCAGTTGTTGAACTTATAATTATCTAAAGAGTGCCAATTTACAGTGTTAATTATATTAATATTTTACAATTTCAACTAATAACAATAAATATGGTAAGAGCAGAAATAGCTGAAAGAAATATTTATATAATATCTATATATCATTAAGACTATAGTTTAAATATTCCTTTTAAACACTGCTGGATCTCCACATTTAAACCTTTGAATGTGTGACCTCATTTACAGATATGCAAAAAAGTGTTTCTTATACATTTTTATTTGCATATCATAGATCATACATATTTAGAACCATTTGTTCTTTCAGTTATGTTTGAACAAATACATTTCCCTTTTTTAAAAACACATTAAAAGTGGTATAGAATTAAAGATGATTGATTAGTCTGCATAACACAGAATGGATAAAAAAAATCCACTTAACACTGATTAAAGGAAAAAAACACCACAGCGTAAGAAAGAACATTTAAAAAGGATTAAGACCTGTATGTTATGTAACAATTAACGAGTAAGACATAATTTGAACAGACGGTAATGAAACATACTGTTTGAAACATGAAATCTGAAAAAAATAATGCATCACTGGCAGAGTCAACCTGTTAAGATCTGATTGAGCTATTAATAAACATCAATATGTGGTTTTGATGTCAAGGAGAAAAACTTTAACGCATTTTTCGTCAGGTTGCTTTAATTGTTCCGGTTGTTTCTCTGCAGACCAGCTCTCCTCACCAAAGCTGAATCAGTTCATCAGCAGCAGCTTCTTTTCATCTCTTGAGTTCTGCCCTCTTCCAAAGTGATACGTTCTGATTCTGACACAAAATAAAGGTTTATATTCACACAAAAGAAGATGTTTTTTTAGGCATTTGAGAATATTAGACGTTACGCTTTTTTGTTACTTACTTATATTATCCCCAGGACCAATACTAGCAGGAATGCCTTTCTCCATTTCCTTCATTATGCATTTTTCAAAGGCCAAAGCTGATATCCTAAAGAAAAATGCCTGGACATTCTCCCCTGTGAATAAGAAAACAATAAATAACGATTTTATTGATTTCTAACCTTGTTTTGAACCCAAAGTATTTAAAGGAAAAGTCTGGTCGTATTCAGAATTCAAACTCCTGAAAGTATTTTAAATATGAAATTATTTCATAATCGCATTCATCTTTTTCTGTTTTTTGGGGACGCTACAGCTACATCAGCTGCATGCAGGAGACAAACACCATTATGGAGGGAAATGTGTTCCATTATTGTTGCAAGGAATGAGCACGCTTTATAAAAGCAAAATTTTTAAAGAAACTCATTCTGTAAATGAATAACTCAAACAAATACAATCCTGAAATAAAAATTTGAATTTTTTTTTTTTTTGAAAAGAAGCTTTTTCAGAGTAAATTTGCTGTTATCTCAGATTTTTTTTTTCAAAAAATTTCTTTAAACTGATTTTATATTTTTTTTTTTTTTTTTTTTTTAAGAAAAAAAATATAATTGAGTTTTAAGAATTGCATTCTTTTCAAATTGTGGGGGCGGAGTTGCCTCTGAAGCAAAGAACAAAGATGCATTTCTATTGCCCTGCATGACCGATTGCAACAACATTTTTATTAGTAAATGTTAGCATTTGTTTCGGCTTGAGGTGAAGACAATTATATATTTCTGGATTGGATTGTTTTGTATTTAAATTTACAAAATGTGCATTTTGTAAATTTCCATTTACACAATGGATGCTTTGCTTGCAACAAAAATGAAATAAATATTACTCCATACGACCAGCTGTTTGATGAGGATCCGCAGCCTGCTTTGAGGAGAACCGGATCCTGTATCTCTTTGTCACATGAATGAAAAAAGATAAGGACTGTGAGGATGATGATGTTATCAAATGTTAGACGAGGGAAACTTTGTTAATCAGTAGAAACTTAGTTTGTAAAGCTCAACGTTGTCGGTTTGGAAAAAATATTTAAACAGGACGTTAACCTGGGAATAAAGAGATGTTCGCTGGAGCTAAAACCAGCGACAGCTCAAAACGAGATCCAAAAAACGTATTTTACTTGTAAAAAGAATAATTTAAAGGAGAAGTCCGGTCATATTCAGAATACAAACTTCTGAAAGTACTTTAAATATGAAATTATTCCATCCTGTTCAATAAATAAAAAGTGTTTTTATTTAAGAGTAATTTTCATNCGTGAAGTTACGTGAACTCAAGTGAACTTCTGTTAAATCTCCGGACCTGTTGCCGGAGCCGCAGAGCCGCACCGCACCGTAGTCAAAAGGGCGGTGTGAGAGGGGGTGTACGGGAGTTGCGGTCTCCGTCGGCTCGGTAACCGCACCGGAGCCAGTGTGAGCAAGGGGTTAAGGGGTTTGCTCGGGAACCCAGCTTGCTCTGCTCTAAAACTCCCTCCTAAAACAAGGCGTCCCTGGGTGGGCTCGAACCACCAACCTTTCGGTTAACAGCCGAACGCGCTAACCGATTGCGCCACAGAGACCTGAAAAGTAAGAATGGCATGATGCTGATTGTGATGAGGATATGATAATACAGCCTTTTAAAATCCGACAATAAAAATAACACTGGTCTCAATAAATGGAAGCGCTTTTATAAGAAACAGCTACACTAATAAGAATCTCTGACCAGTATCGTATTTAATTTAAATAATTAAAAAAGCAAAACCCTAATGAAAAAGAGTAAAACAGTTGGAGCTACAACCTTATTCTAAACCGTTACCTTTTCCATCAACATCATTCCTAACACTTCCTAGTTGAAAAGTAAGAATGGCATGATGCTGATTGTGATGAGGATATGATAATACAGCCTTTTAAAATCCGACTGCCTGACAACATTTTCTGTTGAGGGAACAGTTGTCAGAAGTCAGTTATTAGGCTTACCGCACCGTGACGTCACTGCCGGAAGATGGCAGGAGGGAGGGGTTACTATATTTGGGAAAAAAATGGCCGCTCCCAGTGATCGCGATGAAAATTATATTTAAATTTTTTCTACTGATTAATGCTAAATTCATTAAATCACCGCGAACATATTCGTTTTATTGATTATTGATTATCATTGATTATTCCTGGCTGACCGGACTTTTCCTTTAAGATGACTCAAGTGCAACAAACATCACTGACAGCGTAAGGTCTGAGTTTCACCTGTTTTTGCTGAAACTGCCCAGAACTCTGCGTGCATTTCTGCTGCCAGACGGACAGCATCTTTTTCAGTTCTCTGTCTTTCATCTGGGGGCTTTAGATCAAGTTAGTTTGTAACAGAACAATATGTACTTTGATTCAGTAAATTATGCATCACTTTAGAAGACACTCACCAGAAGATCCGTCTTTGTCCCAACCAAAAAGATGAAACAGGAGTCAGGATCATTTTCTCTCATGGCCTCCTCTAACCATTGACTGGAAAAACAGAAGCTCAAACTGTAGGATATACTTTATGTTCAGGATGCTGGTGAAGATCGTCTATAATCTTAGGAGCATCCCCCAACTGGACTGTAAACGCCACCTCACTGGTCAAAAGGGCACCAATGTGCATGTACTTCCTGCGGAGGATGAGGAGAGCCCACATGCCCCCACCCATCCTCCCCACCTTCTACAGAAGCACCATAGAGAGCGTTCTGAGCAGCTGTCTCACTGTGTGGTGTGGAGGCTGCAGCGCCTCAGACTGGAAGAAGGTGAGAACAGAAGAGAGGATCATGGGGGCTCCTCTTTCCTCCATTAAAGACATTTCATCCCGCGCAGAATGTTACAAGCCCATAACATCATCAATGACCCCTCACCCCCCCACCATGGACTGTTCTCCCTGCCGCCCTGGAGAGGCTTCACAGCATTCAATGCAGGACCAGCAGATTCCGAAACAACTTCTTCCCCACCTCTATCAGTTTGTCTAAGTCTAAGTCAACCTTGGCCTTTGTCAACATTGTTTTCTGTTATATATTTCGTCTGAAAAAAGCTTGTCTCTACTCACTGCAAAAACGATCTAGAAATAAGTAAGAATTTCTTAAATTAAGAGTATTTATCCTTTTTTTAAGTAGGTAAATGAGATAGTTTGCCAATGGAATGAGTATTTTTACTCTTAAAATAACATAATTAGATAATATGCACTTGAAATAAGACAATGCAATTGTGTTTTCTTATTTTAAATCTAAATTGTTTTGTTCCATTGGCAAAATGTCTCTTTTACCTCCTCAATTCAAGAACAAAAGCACTTTTTTAAGGAAAAAAAATGGCTTAACTAGATTTCGATTTTTTCCAGTGTGCCTCATTCACTGTAGGTCACAGCCACATCTAGAACCTAATAAGATTTCACAAAGCGAATGTAAACAAAAGTTTATATTTTTTAACTCCTACAGTCTAATTTGGCCAAATTTGCCAGATTAGCGCCATTTGCCTGGTTATCGGTATAATTGTTAAATTTTTCTAACATTGGAGAAATATATCTCTGCATTTAACCCATGGCCTTGGGGAGGAGTGGGCTGCCATTGTGTGGCGCCCGAGGAGCAGTGTTATGCTACATTCACACCGGACGCAGCAAGAGCAGCAAAATCGCGTCTGCTGCTTAATTTTTGCTGCTGGTACCAGTTTAGTTCTGACGCGCGGCTGAAGCAGCTTTGCTATTCTCGCTGCGCGGTCCAAAAGTGTGTCTGACGCGCGTTGGGCGGAGCTTCTCTATTCTTTCTTTGCCTTGCAGCTATATTTGCTATGATCAGTGGGAATAAAGTAGTTTTAATATGTTTTAAGTGAGAAAATCCACCTAAAAACTTAATCATTGCAGTCAGTTCATCCAGATTACCATCCTGCCTTCTAATATTATTTCTGTGGGAGCCGCTCAGACCCCCACATACCAGCGGTGCGCCGACAGTAGGAATCCCTTCATCAGCAGCCTCTGGCCGGGTCGCCTCCTCACGGTTCACCGCGGCGGCTGGTAGGTGTTTTTCATGTAAATAATCCAAACTGCAGGCAGCAGGATAATAAAAGCGAACATATTCTGCCGGCAGATTTCTGCATTTTAAGTTAATTTATGCGTCAATAAACTGTTTAAGAGGAGTGATCACAGCGCAGCCTGGCAGATCCCAGATCAGCTTCTCTGTTTAATTTAAAAAGTTTAATTTTTCCATCTCGAGCAGCAGCATGTTACGCGCGTCAGATGCTTAAACGCTCCCGACATGCTGCTTCAGCTGCGGGACCTTTTTCTGCGCCTTGACGCGCGTCAGCCATTGACTTTGCATGTAAACTCGCTGCTTCTGCTGCGTGCATTGCTCTAATCAGTAGTCTAAAACTCCCTCCTAAAACAAGGGGGGGCTGTTACGGTTAACAGCTGAACGCGCTAACCGATTGCGCCACAGAGACTTGAAATAAACAGATGGCATGAAGCTAATCACGAATATGATAATACAGCCTTTTAAATCCGACTGCCTGGTGACATTTTCTGTTGATGGTACAGTTGTCAGAAGTCAGTTGATCTTTTAAAACTCAAATCAATAGAAAAACATTTTCCAAGGACCAATTTTGAGAGAAAAAGTGAAAGCCTTGTTGCTGTAGCAACAGCTGTCCAAAATCAAAGAAGTACCTTGACATACAACAAAACCGATGGGAGCCCTAATAGAGTTTAGAGTGTTAATCAATTGGAAGACAAACTTACCACGTATGATCCAGGGATTTAATATCTGCCATGTCGAACACTGTTACAATCACTAGATAAAATCAAGGATATCTAATTAGATTAAATTAGTCTAAACCTGCAGTCATTGATATGTTTAACAAAAAAAATAATCACACCTTGTGCGCCTCGATAGTATGCAGATGCAATGCATTTGAATTTTTCCTGTCCAGCCGTATCCCAGCTAGAGGAATGGATATCACAGATTAACATATTAAAGGATACACAAAGGAAGATAAATTATTGAATTATTTTTTAATACTTCACACTCACATCTGAAGGGAGAACGGTACTCCTGATATCTCAAACCTCTCGATCTCAAAATCCACTCCTATTGTAGCTTTGTAATCCCTCTCAAAGACATCTTTGCAAAATCTGAAGAAATGAAATAGAATAAAGACCTTATCTCTTTACTTTGGGTTGATAGCATGTACTTTATAGTCAAAAACTTCCTTAAAAAAGGAAGGAAACTTCCAAAAAGCTCTATACTCTTCACTGGAGATATGTGTGATAGATAATATAGAGAAGTCACCAGATGTTGAAGATTTAAGATTTAAGTATTTATATAGAAACATAAAGGTTAGTTTTAACATGAAAAACAAAAAATCCAATTGTAACATTTCAGTATTTTAATCAAATCAGTGACTATAAGTATGAAGGGAATTTTGTACAGTTATTGTGTCATTATTGTTAAATATATGTTATGTAAATTTAATTATGTAAAAAGAAAAAAGAAATTAAATTTCTTAATTAATCAATTTACAGTTTTTTCAGACTTTTTTAAAATAATTCTTTTTTTTCTATTTTTAATATTTAGTTTTTTTTTTCTAATGAATTTTGTCAATAAATAAAAAAGAATTAATAAAATATGAAAAAAAAATTTCTACAAATAAAAAATCGGCGAAATAGCAGTTAGCCTAGCCTCGTTGCCTGGATACATCTTCAGCCTTATTAGTGAGTCCTGATAAGACATTATTATCAACTATTTAAAT